TCATCTAAAGTCAATTACGTAACTCTGTGCACAGGATTATTACTAGTCTCTATGAACAGAACGTTAGGGTGTGATTTGTACATACGTCTCTTTGTTGGTGTCAGGTAATTTATCATTAAGTAACCTTGCTATTTTTTCTTTTTAGGGTAATCAACAGTATATTGATTGCTCGATTATCACAGCGAGTTAACGATGAGCTTATCTCTTTTATTATGTTAAACTCTGGTACACCTTACGCAATAAAATGCTATCAAGTGTAATCAAAGATATTCTTTCATTTTGAATAACAAGAAAAATCATTTTCTTAAAATGATTTTATGATAAAACTTCAGCTTCGAATGGATCCAAAAGAAATAATATTGTTTGAAGTTGCTTCTTCAGATAATTCACTAACGTTAATTCTCTATTTCCACGCGTTATCTTAACATCAACAATCTCCTGGTCGCATCGAGACGTAGAATATTAATAGAGTTAGAAAAGGTCGATCGTTAGTGTACGTAATTTAAATGACTCGAGTGGTTATCTATCAGCATCAATTCGCGCCTTCTACCTTTTTACCTATTGCAAAATATGTGCCCACGGCTATTCATGCAAGACATTTATACACGTCTCACGTTTCAGCCAGTGCCGAGTAACGCCCATTTCCAATTTACATACCCAACCCATCGTCGAATGTACATTTCACCTACTTCCCTACGTGATTCGTAGATGGACGTACGCGATCAAGATCTCCGGGGGTCGTTTTTGAAACGAGAACACTGAGAAATTTTCCTCCATATTAAACCAGATCGATCAGTTATTAAAATTAGACTAAAGATTAGAAAAGATTTAAATTAAAAATTTTATTTATCTTAATATTTTATTAAGAAAAATAAAGATAATAATCGAAGGCAACTGATTGACAATTTCATTAATTGCATAAATCTCGATGCATTTAAAGTCGAGTTTCCAAGGTTTTACCGTAGCAAGAACCTGTCACCGACAGTTACCCTGGCTGACTATAATCGGTTGTTTCCACTAACCGTCTTGCGGTCGCTTTTAAGTTCCAGCGAAACATTCGAAGTACTTCGAAGGCAGCGTACAGCGAGTAACAGTCATGTAATTTTCTCAGGCTAACTAACAGTGAAACCTGTAATACGGTGTAGACCACCGAGACGAGCAAGAGTTGCCAATTACAAGGATGGCAGGGTGTTTCCAGGGAGAAGAAAAGGGACCAAGTTAAATAAGAAAAGATTAAAAAGATGGTACACGTTAGAGGTAAGCTTCAGAGATCCGATAGCCGCTATCTTAACTAATCTTAACTTGGATGAAACTTCGTAACCAATCCCATAGGAACGGGAAGCCTGACTCCGTTAGCATGGGAACAATTTCGAGGTCCTCCATAGGATTTCCACTTCGATCGGTAATCAAACTAAGTCGCCGATACAACGTGTCGTTGTACAAAGTGAATCGTTCCTCAGGATCGATCAAGAGGAGGTGTAATAATTTGAGAAAAGAAGAATAATTATATCAATGTGAAATTGATCGACGAAGGAATAAAAGTGGAAAATTAGATGGAACGAAATTTTGATAATGGATAGAATTTTCTAATTTCAATTTAAGATGATACTATAGCAATTTGTGGTTACTTTTCCTAATTAATGCGAGATAGAGATTATATTCGTTCGAAGTTATAAATCTTCTTTAATACAAGTAATTATTTCGTACACGTCGATATTCTCCGGGCTCGTTCATTCACCAGGAACGTGTATTTATCGCAAACACAAGTCTCGATAGAAATATATTCGGATCAACTCATCGGGGATACATAAATCAACGCGCGCGCTAGTGGCAAACCCCAAAGCCGACTGGCAAAAGTTTGAAACACGGGTCAGACGGGTCCAACGATATCGACTTTACATATCTCTCGACATTTTTTTGTTGAAATACACAATAGGTATCTTTTGTTAACATTCACCAGAGATGACAGATTTTTCTGATGACCTAGTAACAAAAAATTCATCGAAAACTAATATACAGAAACGACTTTATCATTGCAAAGTAAATAATGCGATTTTTTATTTATATGGTGAAATAGTAATATTCTTAAGAAATCAGTGTTATTCTAGGTTTCACTAGACACGACGATCAACGCGTTAATTAAACCTATCGAGACGTATAATTAAAATTCATAGAAACTTGTCTGCAAGGATATATCCTGATCGGCGTGTAAATAAAAATATCAACCAATTACGCGTAATTTATCACAGAGACTGTTCACGCGGAAATGTCAATTTTCAATCAGAAACAGAGAACTTCTTTTCTTCATCTCGCGGCAAACGGATGATTTAAACGCGTTGTACCGGCCATTTAACGATGGCATTATTAGCCCAAGGTTTCTTACTGATTATTGTTCATCAGTAGACGGGATCATGTACGTTTCCAAAGGCTATAAAAGATGCGATCGAACAGACCAATTGTTAGTATTTCACCGACTTCTGTTTCTATAAACTCGTGTTGCGATTCGGATTGATTTATCCTGATGTTCGATTCAAGTGGATCAGTTAATTAATGGATTGAAATAATATTCACACGAGAGCCGTGTCAAATTTCACGAGATAATCATTTAACCGTACGTTCATCGTTTTATCATTTGCAAAATGTGTAATATCGGTATCCTTTTTTATATTGAATTTTTATTTTTCAGATACAAGAGTGGATTTTCAGAGGAAGCTTATAAATTCCACAGTGAGTATTTTTATATGTTTCGAAACTGGTTATTGACTTTAATTAATCACCAGTAATTTAATATTAATAATATTCTGGAAATGTTCGAATGATCAATTTCCACAAACTTTAAGCTTTAAATTGACGTATCACAAGTATTATTTCGCGATACTTTTATGTCACATCAGGCTCTTTGTCTTGAAAAATTTACAATCGAATAAATCAAAGAAAGATGAAAATGATTCATTTGATCCGCTTGATTCGCACTATATCATGCGGAAATTAAAATTATAATTATCCCATTTATCATCAACACAAAACCACCAATCTCAGCCCTGCGCACGGTACAATAATTCATTTCTTCCGAACGTTATTTCCACTCTGAAACATCTGGCAGAACTTTTTGCAATTACGAGCGAATTAACGATACATCGCAAGGTGTACCGAGAGCCAGCCATCGAAATGGAGGAAAAAAGAGTGGATTTCCGGTTTTAATGGGAACCGGACATGGCTGCTTCGAAAGCCGGTCCCCGGAAATGGTTTTAACGAGGTGGTTCCAAGGTAGGTGGGAGGCGTGAACGTGCGACAGCGCAAAGAATAGCGTGCAAAAACGTTCTGTATGCGTGGCATGGACAAAACTGTTCCCAAAGGGGTGGCTGGCATTTCTAAATCGCGAAAAGGACCCAGTTGGATTGAGTTTCTGTGGAAATAGAAAAGTGTTACAAGGTTTTGTTACGAACTCTCTGTGCGACAGGAATAACGTAAAAAATTATAACATGGACGAAACTCGAAAAATCATTTTTTTTCATTGAAAAATTCACTCCAGTGTACTTTTCAATTTCATTTCTTCCTTTGGAAATAAGGGATGTTTTGCTGGGACAGATGCGATGTCATTTATTTAGGGTGACATTTGGCGAGACTCAAGTCTATTTACTCGGTAATGAGCGTCTGGAATGAGCTTTTTTTTTTTCTTTTTCTGCTAATTAGGTTGCTGCCTAGTTTCGCCATGCTCGAGACCGAGCGTCTCAAGATCTGCTTATTGGGTTCCTCAAATCCTGTACAAACAGCACCAGCTACATTGCTGCACGAAAGAACTAATTAGAACGTTTTCCACTCTTATTAACATCGATTCACGTATCTATTTTTCTAAATTTTTGCTCGATCCATTTATTTCCATTCTAAATCTGTTCACCCTAAAATTTCACTAGACATCCCCCATTTTTTTCCATTCTTATTAACATCTATGCACGTGTCTATTTTTCTAAATTTTTGCTCGATCCATTTATTTCAATTCTAAATCTGTTCACCCTAAAATTTCACTAAGCAACTCCCATTTTTTTTTATTTTGATAAAATCTCGTCTACTATTTCTCTATAACGTGTCAATAAACGCGTTAAAAATTATTTTCAAAAAAATCTCGTGGTCTGATATTTTTGTAAATGTAAGCAACACGTTCAGGATGTGCATCATGACGTTCATCGTCCTGATATATCGAGCATGCACGTGTATACCTGCCAGGCATATCGAGTTTGTAACGATGACGTATGTGTGTCAGTGCACGGGATGATCCGAACGATGCACCAGGGATTCTGTCATTTTCCAAAAAGTTTTGTTCCTCGCCGCACGGATTTTTACGATGCCGTGAGCGGAACACATACGTGACACGCTGTACGTCAAAAGAAGGGAAGAAGAAAAAAAAAAAAAAGGACATTTTTTAGCATATCGATGGACGTCTTTGTTGGATGAAACGCATGCCTCGAGCATGATCCAGTTCCGCATCGAAACGTTTCAATATTTCATCGAATCGGTAATTCGATTTGTTCGCTCCCCTTCTCCATTTCGATACCGCGCTGAATATGATTGACGTTCCATTGTTCAATTTTTGAGGAATTCAACGAAGCAAAATGGCCGATCCCTCGGCTGCCAGCAAGTCCATGATTTATTTACCTCACGGCTTTAATTGAGAAGAATTTGATTTCACTACGGCAGCGATGATTCATTCGAAAATTTCATATTTCTCTACAGTAGATTCTCGGTATATCACCGATTCAGCTTCGACTGTCAATCTAAATTGTTAATTCCAGGTATTTTGAAAATTTCTGCATCGGAAATTTTGCTAAAGTACTTCTTCAAGGTTTGATGAACATTTTTCATATTTTTCACCCTCAAATGCGAACGAACCTTTACCGATACGAGAGCATAATCCATGTGATGTCTTGGCGCGCTCGCGACAGGATTCGCGGATAAGTTTTTACCCCCGAAGAGGAGAGCTTGCGCCAGTTGGTCTCGCGTCGCACAGAGAGACGCGCGCCGGTCCGCCGAACGCTTAGCTCCGCTTCGAGTCTGCTCGTAGCGGCGCGCGACAGTCCGTTGCCAGTTTCGTTCATCCGCTCGAGCAAGTCACCTCCGGTCAGCATGTGCGAAGGTTCTTCAAGAACGCGTCGGGTCGCTTGACGATCGATCCTACGATCTCCAAATTCCCGCACGATCGATCACCAAATTCCCGCTCGAAATCACTTTCGATCGCGCGTGTCTTCCGGCGGAAACGAGCTCGGAGAACAGTACCGAGTGTTCGTCGATTTACCCTGAAGACTTGGAACTTCATGGCACTGCTGTTGTTTCTTCAAATTTATATCCCCCGTGTAAAGGATCTTTTTTTAAAATAATAATTAAAAAGATCCTTGGTTCTCGAGGACATTCGACGGGTTCCTCTTCATGGTAACCATGGGATCAATTATAAACTTTAGAACTGTGAGATTCTTTTTAAAAAAGCATTAGTTGACACGTGTTTTGATGTTGAAGAATCCCGACAGATCCGATAGTGTGTAGTTGTTGAGTGAAGTGTAATGAACCTTTGCTATACTTTGGTAATTATTAATCAAGAGGAGAAGCAGGTGTAACGTAGAGGAACTGACTGTTGTTGGTTTAAGAGGATCATTGTGCTGGTGAAGTGTGTGAACAGACGATGAGGAAACTGTTTTGAACTGGTGGCCGATGAGATCGGACGGGTTAATACGCGGCTGAACCGAGGCAATTATCTTAGAGCCGAGACCACTGGTGCTAATTAATCACTGCAACTCTGGAGCCCTGGTTTCGTGATAGACATTCATCTTTCAACTTCTTCAACCTGCCGAGTGGTGAGTTATACTTTTTACACTGCGGACTGTAATACCAAAACAGGGGAGAAAGATCATTTTCTCTTAAAAATTTAAAAAATAATTTGTGTATTTTTCATTTATCGATTGATCAGGAATTAGAAATATTTTCATTTTTTAATATCACTGATTAGAAATTTTGTTTATTTTAGTATCATATGGAATAAAATAATGAATGTAATTTACAAATAAATTTTCTTTCTAACGTCAAGAACAATTTGTTCGTTTCTTTTAATCACAAAACTATCCATTTTTAATCATTAACAATCTACAGTCTTGCACAGTATTGTAACCATTAATCTCTGCAAAGTAATTCATCATCCCCATTCTTTCCAATCATTTGTGATTCCAAAACATGTCTGAATAAACTCCACCAGTCACTCAACATTTATTTATTGCCCGCTGATTTGAAAGTATCAGGCTTTATAAATACTAATAGCAAGTATTAAGGTTAGAAGCATTTGAGAAATTGTGAGGAACAGTAAATAGAAGTGGTTCGATCTAAAATGATAATTTAAACAATAAGAGGATCGGTCGAACATGAAAGAAAGACGATACAATTGATCTGATAGTAGCTGGAGTATTAGACGTTCGGCTGGAAATATAATATTATATGCGATGTTCGTATCTGTATGCCAGTCTCGATTCGGGTCAAATGTAAAAAGCTCTTCTATTGCGATTCAACGGTTAACTACCACTCTTATGACCTGCATCTGCTGTTCAAATCGAGCGGACAGCTTCGCTGCAGGCCACATTTACATCTGCATTTACATTTATCCGCTTCGAAGACGAGCGTGTAATGTCACTTTATCGCTTGTCAAAACTTTACTTCTATCAGTTTTATCGTCCTGTGTTTAGATCGTTTTGGGTTCTCTTCTGGGTTTCTATTTTGGATGACAATTTTGGTATACAGTGTTTGGGCACCTTTTTGTTAAATTTCGATGAAAACTTTGATAGGATATTAGGACATAGAAAATTTCAGATAAATCTAAAATTAATTATCAAATTCTTGAGAGGTCACGAATTAACCCTTTACCACTTAGATTTTTTCAGATGGAATAGGTATAAGACATGTTATTCTTTTTCAAGTATCAATATTTTAAGATATTAGATATTCTATAATAAAATACTCCTTTTCTAATAATTTTCTAACGATTTACGATTAAGATTTCTTTATCATATTGCAACAATGGTAATTGTTCGGTGTCTCTCAAAATTCAAACACTGACACCTTGAAGCATATGTTCTAATACATATTAATCTATTGAACTATAGATTTAATATTTTATATTTGAATCTATTACAGAATATGATATTTTGCATTTTCTTTTGAAGGTTTTCCTCCTGTTTGAATGAAAGTTCTCTGTAGGGTACCTATATATTAAAAAGGGAATAGAAATAGGAACTCGACTCTTCTCATATAAAATTTCTTTGATATGTGAAGTTATTAAATTTCAGATTTATTGTATTGAAATTTTGTAATGTTTTTTTAGTATTTCAATTTACAGGATATGATATCTTGTGTTTATTCTTTCGGATTTTATTTCCAGCTCTTCTTACTTCAAATTGTTTTGTTATGGAGTTGCTGTGTTAACAAATATTGAACATATTAAATTTCTGAGCTAATGTTATACACTTTAATGTACTACAAAATATGATACCTCGCGTTTTATCCCGAGTATTTCCTTTCGAGTTTCATCGAAACTTTAGTAGGATGTGTTAAAAACGAAATGGGAAAATGAATTCTATTTTTCTTGGGTGACGGAACAAAGTTTCGTGGAAACAAAACACACCTCTAAAAAATGGAATTTCCATTTGAAAAAATCGTGTTCGGTACAGTAAATATCACGCGGCATTTTCAATTTTTCGTCAAAATTCTGTGCTATCATCAAAAGTGGATTAAATATTGGATCTGTTTTTTCATTGTGTTTTTGCGAATCAATTGTTCAACAAATTTAGTGCAAAATTTTAACTAAACTCTTCATTAATATTCATTGATATGTAGATTCAATAACAAGAGAATAAAACTAGGATTGTAGTAAAAAATATAAAATTTTACAAGCATCGCTTCCTCGATTTTAAAATGAACTGTCCAACAAAATTCATGGAAAAGTTATTGCAATAATTTGAAAAAACACGTCGAACAATCCTCTCGTTTTACGCTCAATTGTGAGTTCCCTTAAATATTTCATTCTCTGTATTGAATTTCACTTTTGTCACGTGAAATTCCTTCGTTAATGTTCCCATCGATGGGTTACTTAATTTATTGGCAGATGGGAGTGGGTGCAAACACAACTGGTTGCTGATGAAAATCGATCCTCGTTCGCTGAACATTTTATTCGAGTTCAGCTTAACGACTGACGATTAAGGTAATTTATCGCGAGAAACGTTCGGTGCTACCTTAAAATTCGATTTTCCACCGCGTGCAGTGGTTGGAATCTCATTAGAGTACTTTGAAAGTGCATTACACTTCGAGCAATGTTTCTTCTTTAAGCGTGCCTTTCAAACATACGCTATTCAAAGGGTTTATAAAAGAAATTTCATTAAAAAATATAAAAGAATTAAATGATTCATTTAGAATGTTTATTTCTTTATAAATTCATATTTCGTATAAGTGCATAGATGCACCTGAAAAATGCAAGTGCATCGTGTTCCTTTTTCTCAATCTCATTTTGTTTATAAAAACTTACACCGCAAATCAGTGTTTTTCAGCGTCGTGCGTAAGTGAATGACGTGGAAAGTGGGAAATCGCGTGTCTGATCACGAAATAATGAAACGTTTAGCTGAGAACTTCTGTAAGTTTGCTTCTGAAGCAGATATACCACGTTTCGATCGTCCTCGAGACAAATGAAAATATTTGAAACGTGCGTGACATTATTGAAGTAGAACCTATCGTGCACAGGAAATGAGTTTTTAAAATATTGTTTTATAAATAAATAAATAAATATTTCAGAATAATATTTAACGTGTTTTTACGAGTCATTAATAAAACTGGAAGTGTAGAACAAGTAAATTATCTTCTTAATAAAAGATTACCACCCTTTTATTAAAATTCTATTATTAACCAAAACCATTTAATGAATGGATTGTTCGATGCGTTTTTTCAAATTATCGCAATAATTTTTCATATATTATGGATAACATATAATTTGCCAAAACTGTACTTTGAAGTAAACAAATTATTAATTTGTCGATTCTGTAACCCTTTGTTTTATTCGAGCACAACCTCACCACATTCGAGTTCCTTAATTATATTGTACTTCGTTAGTTTCTAGACGTTCCTCTGCAATGCAAGCAGTTACAGAGTTGAATTCGTTCTAAATTCTGTACACACATAACGCTGCACTATCTTATACCAGTATAGAATTGTTTTCCTTTTGAAAGAACCGGGAATATTCTGACAACGAGGTATCCGAATATCAGAGAGATTTCCCTCTACAAAATGAAATTTGACAATCGTAATTGTGATATTTTATTCACGAACAGAGTTGGATTAAACTGGAAACCACAATGGGGTATAAAATAAATTTATTGTACTTTGTTGATTTTCTCCGTTGACATAAATGAATTTAATAAACATTCAACGTTTTTCTATCGCATTCGTTCGTTTCATTATAAAAAGGACGAATCCCAGAAATTCATATCATATTTCCGATACATTTTTCAAAAAGAACGTTGTAGAATAAATTTTTTGTTGATTAAAAATATGTTGTTTCTATTGGAAACGTTCTTTTGACCGTGATTTCAAAAAGGCAGAAAACGGGTAACAAATTGATTAAATTTGCACAACATTATCGACACGGTTTTTGTTAACGAACCAATCAATCATCGTTAAAACGAAACGAACGAAACTTTTTTGTTGTTACGGCGATCGTTAAGCTCGCCGAAGGTACAATTCGTTAAGCGATAATTAACAACACGATGAGTGCGCGAATTAATTAAAGGATAATTGATTGAAATTTCTGGAAATTCGAGACTGGAATTCCAGAATTTCGAATACAGGTTGATGGAATTCAGAATTTAGAACGTGGAAGCTAGGTAGAACTAGAAGGAATGCAGAGTCTAGAATTCAGATCATGCTCGGTACAACTTCCGTTTTCTCTGAAAATGTTCAGAATCAAGTCGTTTTGGAAATACACAATTTGGGGAAAAATCAATGAACACAGAGGGAAATAGGGTACGAAATGGAGGCAAGATGGGAACGAGTGTAGCTGGAGGTCCTTTCGCAATCCCTAACACGAAACCGCACTTCACTGGCATTTGCGTTTTAACGCGCGACCCTTTTATTCTGGCAAATTCGTGGCTCTGCTTGTTCCATCCCGCTGCCATCGATTGATCCCTAGATTATTCGATTTATTCCAATCTGTTCTGAACTGGCTTTTATCAGCCTTTCTCATCCCGTTCAAACAAAATATGTACGACTCTATAAATACACTTCTTTCAGTTATTTTTATCTTCTTGGAATTACCTGGAATTAACTCCTTGGAACTATTATACAATAATAGCTTTTCTAACTTCTACATTTTTATATTATACATATCATATTTTGCACTCTGTATTTTAAGTTACAAGTTATAAATTCTGGATTACATATACATGGATAAAAATAGCCTATACAATTACAGTTGAAAAGTTTTCGGATTCGAGGCAGCATACTCGTTTCGTTTCGAAAAAGGAAGGAGAATGGCTCGTTTGCAAATTCACAGGATCGAAAAAGCAACGCCCTGAACTATCAGTCGCTTGCAGAGTCGACCATTGTAAACCGGCATGCGGCAACAATATTCATAAAATTCAATGGTCGTGCATGTAAATGTCAGGCGATTCACGTGTTCGCGTAACAAGCAGAAGGAAAAATGAAAGAATACCGCGAAATCTCGAGGATCAACGTCCTCCGTTGAGGATCTCTTATGAAGTACTTCCGGTTCTGAGAGGCACGAGGTAAAAAAGTTTTCGTGAAATTTCGAGAGCGTACCAGGAAAAAT